AATATATATTTTATTTTCCTTTCTTTCTTTTAGCTAAGAGGCCATGTTTACTTCCATCTACTCTGTGGCCAAATAAGAATATTTATTTTTTATTGTCAATGGCTTATATTTGATATTTTATTGTTAAATACAATTTCCTTAGGAAGAAATATAAGGCTTTCACGATCTGGCTCCAACCTGCCCTGTAGCCTATATCTTTTGTTTTTATCTTAAATGTTTTGTTCCAGCCACATTGAACAAGTTTTATCTTGCAAGTGTAAATATTTCATGTGTCATGATTGTGCATTCACATTCTTTCTTCCAGAAATGCTTTCCACTGGTTTCCCCTTTTTTTGAATGGGGCCCACTTCTACCAGAGAAATTATTATATTCTATTACAAGCATTACATTTTCTGATTCTTGCTTTGGACTGAGAATTCTATATGAATTTCAGACACATCAAACCACCTCTCCTGTAAATAAGTATCATTTTCTATAATACAAATTTGGGAAATTAGCTGATTCCAGAGATTTCTTCTATCCCCTTAATATAAGAAATGTCTGATTATTAAATAATAGTATATTTTCAAGGAATCTATCCCACTCAACTATAAAATTTCAAATGTGAACATTTCAACTTTATATACTTTCATTAAGGATTCAGTACTTATAATGTTTAAGACCTGTCATAAAAATGCACTTAATAAACCTAATCATAGATAAAAGCATTCATTTTGGATTCAAAAGAAATCATCTGATATTTGTTAACTTAAGCAGAAATTTTTAGAGACTATTAAATTTTTCCCTTATACCTTTAACTAGAGATCATTTTATTGGATAAAGATTTTTATAGTGAAAAATAGTTTATTGTATTAAAATGGCTAGTTGACTAAATGAGTTAGAGGTATTGATATGAGTCCAATATATGAATAATTTATCATGGTTCCTTTTTATTACCAAAAATGAATGGGAAAAATTAAATTACATGAGATAGGAGGTAGCTGAAAATTTTACTTCTAAATCATGCTCATGGGAAAAAAATCAATCCATGGTCACAGAGAAAAAAATACAAAAGATAATAAAGTCATTTTCAAAAGCAAATAATTTTTTCATGATATATTCAGAAAACATATTTCATACAAAGTTTTGTGGAACTTTATAAAGAGAAGACAGTATTAGGACATGATATAATTGTGGGACTGAGGAAGAAAAGAGGATAAAGTGAGAACAGAAAATTGGGAAGAAGGGAAAAAGGGAGAGATAAGAAAGTAGAAAGGAAGTATAAGGAGGGATGAGAAGAAAGATATACAATGCAGAAAAAAGAAGAAAGGAAAAAGACTAAAGTAAGTTAAAGAAATAAAACATAAATGCACAATTAAGGGGAAAAATGAAAATATAAAATAGGAAAAGAATCATAGAAATATGAGACAAAGGACTTTTGAAATGCTAAGTAAAATTTTGCATATTTATACATTTTCCAAGTCACTGAACATTTTAATGAAGGGTTTCTTTTTCATTTTAAAGGTAATATATGTTCATTGCAGAAAATTAGGAAAATACTCAAGAGAAGAGAACAAAAAAATCACCTGAAAGGCTGCCACATAAATGCAAGACTTTTTACTGCTTGCAAATGTTGTCTTCCAGAATTTTTATATATAATTTTAAATACTTTTTTTAAGTGGCATAAATATTTGAATTGCACAAGCATTTAGAAATATAACTTAAGCAGTTTTTGAATAATTGACTTTTAAAGACATATTTTTATTTTTAATCCTAGTGGGGAACTAGTGGCAACTTTATTAGAACAATTTAATGAAATTTTAATAAAGGACCATTTACAAATATAGGAAGACGGCACAGGGATCATAAGGGATAGTAACACAACCGAGTGCTCCTGAGAGTGGTTTGGTGTGTGGCTCATAGAGAGAGCAGTTACTTGGAGATGGTTGCATGAAAGACTTTCACCCAAGAGTCATAGCAGCCTGGGTGGCTGCACAGGGATGATGCTGGAGACATACAGACTCCAAAGCCACTTTTCTGCCTCTCTTCAGTCACCTGTAGGATTTGCGTTAGCTGAATCCAGTTAGCAGTAAATAGCAGCAGAACTTAAGTCATCAAAACAAAATCCTTCTTGGGTAGAGACCATGGGAGAGAAAAAACAGTTAAGAGTAGCTCTGAAAAGACTAATGAAAGATATTCAGAGCACAAATTAATACTCCATTAAAGTTTATTTACAAATCCCACCTTTTATTATGGGTGGGTTTTTTTTTCACTATTATAATTTTCTCTCTTTAGAATTATCTCCTCAGTATAAACCAATAAAAAAGAAAAATATAGGGTAAATAGATACAAAAGATTTAATGCTTATGGCTATTTTTTCCCAAAAGATTTACTGTACTTCATATTTTTTACCAGAAAGTTATAAAAGCCTCATTAGCAATATAAATTTTTTTATATTATTAATTTGTTAGGAAAAAATATTTGGTAGTGTTTTACTTTGCATTGTTGGATAACTGGTGGGTTTAAAGGTTTTCCACGTTTGTTATATATTTTAATTTTTTCAATATACTTTTCATGCTTTATTCTACTTCATGTGGTCCCCAAATGAGTTATGACTAATTCATTCATTTAGCAAGGGCTTCCCTGGTGACTCAGATGGTAAAGAAGGTGCCTGCAATGCAGGAGACCTAGGTTCCATCCTTGGGTTGGGAAGATCCCTTGGAGAAAGGAATGGCTACCTGCTTCAGTATTCTTGCCTGGAGAATGGACAGAGGAGCCTGGTGAGTTACAGTCGGGGTTGCAAAGAGTTAGACTTAACTGAGCGACTAACACTTTTCACTTAGTTTAATAAAGATTAACCTGAAGATTCATTAACCCAAAGACTTAATTACAATCAAATTTAAATTTTATATGAATAAATAGTTGTCTTTTGAAAATAAAATCAAGCACCTGATTACTGTTTACAGTCCCTTTTTTTTCTTGATCTTGAAACGAACAGAATTTACTTATAAATATGAAAGATTTGCCTTAGACAAAAGTGTGTCACAATTTGTAACAAAAGTTATTAGACAACAACATCGACTTTTAACAATAGAATACAATTAATTAAATTCACGTTGGAAATTTGTAAAGTCATCATTTTGGCAGAATATGCAATGTAACACAAATAGTTGTTTATCAAGTAATTCCTGTGTTGCAAATATATCTCATCCTCACAGAAAATTCATTTACTAATTTTTTTTACAAGGAAATAGATTCTATGAGATTATACCCACAAAAGATATATGACAGACTCACTTTATACATTAATTTTTACATCTGTGAAATTCAATCTTTTTTCCATTTTATCAAATATACTGCCTTTATTATCTTTATTGTTGCTCTCAGTATTAATATTCAACAGATTTAATATGCTTACTACAATCTCTTTAGGATTTATACTGATAAATAGAAACTAAAAGATGTGCTAAATGATTTCCAAAATCACACAAAACTCCATTAGCTATTTAGAAGTTTTGTCTTTTTCTATGAGGCTGGATGTCTCCATATGGTGGTATTTGAAAAGTGTAAATGGTCTTCCTCTGTCCTCTAAAAATTGTATTTGTCCTTCAACATTACATTTTATACCATCTCTCCTTTAAGTCAAAGCATTTAAGTAAGACTCCTACTTAAAACTAAGTATGCCATGAGAGAGACAAAAACAATATAATAAATTTTACGGTGGTGATCATAAACCCTATTCTGGAGTCAGACTGTCTTATTTTATTCCCACCTGTGCTATCTATTATATTAGATTGACTCTCTCCAAGTTTTTTAACCTCTTTGGGACTCAATTTCCTCATCTGTAAAAGTGGGTGATACAATTAACAATATCAGGGGTGTTCTGAGGAGTAAATGTATTAATAAATATAAGCCTCAACTACAATAGATTATGGGCTTCCCTATAATCAATAGCTTAGTTGGTAAAGAATCTACCTGCAATGCAGGAGACCTAGGTTCAATTCCTGGGTTGGGAAGATCCACTAGAGAAGGGATAGGCTACCCATTCCAATATTCTTGGGCTTCCCTTGTGGCTCAGCTGGTAAAAAATTTGCCTGCATTGTGGGAGACCTGGGTTCAATCCCTTGGTTGGGAAGATCCCCTGGAGAAGGGAAAGACTACCCACTCCAGTATTCTGGCCTGGAGAATTCCATGGACTGTATAGTCCATGGGGTCGCAAAGAATCGGACATGACTGAGCGACTTTAACTTTCACAATAGATTATATTAGTCTATGATAAATCATTACAGCATGAGGGTATTGACTAAATAAAAATTTTAAATGAAAGAAGGAAAAGAAGGATAGATGAAAATAAGGAAAAGAGAGTCAGAAAGTAATTTGGCTATTCATTTTTAAGATCAGCTCAACCATGTTTGTGCTTATACTCTTTACTATTAAAGTTCTTAAACACATTGACCACATCTTACTAGCAATGAACACCCAGTTTCTGTCATATATCCTAATAAAGTCTTCACTAAATAGATGATGGACAATTTAATAAATATATAAAAACATAAATGAATATGTAAAACTAGTCACGGATAACTAAAATAAATAGGATATAAAGTATATGAAACAATATATTTTTCATATTTTTTTCTAAAATAAGTGCGTTGATCTGGAGAAATAATCTACATGAGGTTCAAGAAAGAATGGACCAGAGAGCCCTAATGGGCCAATAGGCTGAAACGTACCTAAATGAACTTCATCAATCACTCCTCAGTCAATTTAGATACAGAAGATACGCCATTTCAGGCATACATTGATAAGATCCAACTCCAATTATAAGGCAGCCCGACCCATTTGATTTACTATTTCTCTTACACACACAAGGTCATATTGATGGAACCTATGCCTCTTTCCCCAGTCTGAGGGCTCCTTTGAAGAAGGTTCTATAGAGTACAAAACTCAGAATGAATAAGATCATATCAAAGACTGGTGCCAACCATGACTATTCCGCATTGTTGTGTTCATGTACTTACTTGCTGGGTTGTCTGTGCTATGTAGGCTGACCACTGGAACCCCTGGACCTGGATTTTAGAAATATAGGTAGAAACATTTTAAAGACATCTAAATAATAACTATTGGAAGGTTAGATGACAGAATTCTTTTTTTCCACATGCATTTCATAGTTAAAACATAATGAAATAGAAATCAGATTATTAGATTTCATTCCTTTCTATGCACATTTTATTCAGAAAAGTAAGAACATATGGGGAAAGAAACTATTTACAAGATTATTGTAAAGATCCCCCCTTCTCTAAAATGCCATATACTTCAATATTTCTATGGTTTCAGTCAATCTAATGCACCCTACTGTCTTCTAGTCTTTAATAGAATAGTCACTGATCTGTCAGTTGATTTCCAAACCTGTGACCTCTTACCCTCTCATCCAAGATTAAATTATATTTACCACTCAGCCAAGAAAGAAAGAATGCATGCATATTAGAAATATTTCATCCACAAGACAAATTAAATTTTGGAGCTAATCTTACATTAATTTAAAAATATATTAACTGGAATAGCTTTTTCAAATACACTGGACAATTCAGTTGTAACTTTAAGATGTTATCTTGAAACTTCACTTCTATAATGAACTCTATTTGGAGGCTAATGGTTTTTCTCTGGTGTCATCAAACAAGTACATCTCTTTTTTGATTACTTTCTTTAAGATGTCAAGAGAAAAAAATAATGAAAAAGAGCAAGTATTGTTCTTTTCCTCATGGTATCTTAAAACAGGACTGAACAAGATACCAGCTAAAGCTGTAACACTCAATCCATTGCATTATAAAAGGATATCTCCCATTTCATCAAAGTATCCTATTAAAGGTACAATGATTCCTACTAGTGTAACCTAGACATACTATACCACTAGGTAAGCCTTAGCATACTATTATCATATAGAAGAAATAATTGGGGTGAACACACTTTCTCAAAATTTAAGGAGGCTAGACCCAGAGAATTAAATTTTTGTAGATCCTAAATTTCTTAACAACAAAGCCATTATTTCAACAAGGAGAGTGTTGCTTTTCCTAAAGCCTAGGTAAATTATTTTATTATTCTAGGATGACTTTGCTAATGTAAACATTTATTCACTTTTTAAAAAGGTTCATATAAAATAGCACTTATTGATCATGTACCTGTATACATACTGACTTACTCCCAATTTCTGTCTTTTAAATAAAGTAATGGGGAATACATGTAAATCCATGGCTAATTCACTTCAATGTATGACAAAAACCACTGCAATGATGTAAAGTAATTAGCCTCCAACTAATAAAAATAAATGGGAAAAAAAAAAGAAAAAAAACTGAAAAATAAATAAATAAATAAAGTAATGGATAAGATTTATATCACAAAAAAACCCTTATTTATTACTTTTAAACAAAAACTTCTGTAAACTAGGAATATAAAATCATAGATTGAGGGTAATCATTACTACTGTTAGTAATAGATACTGATCAAACAAAATTGATAAAATAAATTTTAACAGAAATCAACTATTACCTTTACAGAGTAATAAAAAATGTTGATTCATGGGACTAAAACTAGCATCAAAATATGTACATTGTTCTTTCATAAAATTACATGAAATACATTGACGATTCAATAAGCCTTCAGTAGAAGCACTGGGGAAAGAAAAAGAAAGTGAGAAATGTTACTATTCCAGGTACTTGAATGTGTGATATCATTATTTAAATATTAACATAAAGAAGTTACAGTATTACTTAAATTGAAGTTCCTTATAAACTATCACTTATCATAAAAATGCAAAGTCAATTTCCATTACTAATGTTAAGACATATACATTTTTCTTCTCAGAAAAAAAATTAAAGTTATGAACACCTATACATATATAACACATATATAGTTATATATGCTTTAAAGAAATGGACTTTCCCAGGACTCAATATAACTTATTCTTAGTTATATTTTTATAGATATTTCTTAAAGTCTAAAAAGAAACTAGCCACACAGATAAGCATAAATAGTTACTAGCAATAATATTAGTTGAAAGAACTAATAAATTATGATTAATCATAAATTATCTGTGCTGCTAGACAAAAACACTGCTATTGATACACTTTTTGAAACTTGGCTGGACAAAATATTCTCAGTTGCATTTTGGAATAAAACACATAGTATACTATACTTCATAAAGTCACAACTTCACACTTGAAACATTTTGGGTTCATTATAAACCAAAATTTTCCTTTATATCTGAAGTGATCAGTATAATAGGCACTTAAATACATTAGCTAGTTTCATCCTTATGATAAATTACAGCCTTTTTTTTTTCTTTTAAACTGTGGTAAAACAACATTCACCATTTTAGCCAGTTTTCAAGTATATGGTTAATTTCAGTCACAATATTGCAGAACTTTCACCACAGACAGACTATGAGTGTGTGGCAGTCACACACAGAATTTAACTTTTCTCTTTCTACTTTGTCATATAATTTTTCAGATCTAAGTTCCCTAAAAATTTATATTGGTATTTTCTCATTATTTAGATTATGAAATAACTAAAAATAAAGAAAAGCACACTTTGAGACAAAATTATGACACTGAATATGGTAGCAATTCTGACTCTGTTAATCCCATAAATTAAATCAACCAATTATTATTTTTATGGACTTGGACAAGACAATGATTGAGTTTTTTGGGTTAAACACTAACATTTTCTTATAGTCAAGTCAACTGGCACCTGATGAGCCATGTAAAGAAAAATCTATTGGTTGTATATTTTGGTTGTAACCCAGTCTTCTACACTAGGACAGGTCATAGATCCATTGACTGTTGCACTGCTCTGCCTCAGTCGCTAGAGACATGTGTGTGTGCTCATTTGCTTCAGTTGTGTACAGCTTTTTGTGATCCCATGGACTGTAGCCTGCCAGGCTCTCTGTCCATGGGGATTCTCCAGGCCAGAATCCTGGAGTAGGTTGCCATGCCCTTCTCTGAGGGATCTTCCCGACGCAGGGATCAAATCCATGCCTCTTACATGTCCTACATTGGCAGGCAGCTTCTGTACCTCTGGTGCCACCACAGAAACCCATAAGTGTATTATTAGTTCAGTCATGTTCGACTCTTTGTGACCCCATGGATTGTAGCCTGCTAGGCTCCTCTGTCCATGGAATTGTCCAGGTAGGAATACTGGAGGAGGCTGCCATTTCCTTCAAAGGGGATCTTCATGACCCAGGAATCGAGCCCAAATCTCCTGCATTGAAGGCAGACTCTTTACTGTCTGAGAAGCCCATAGGATAAGCACACAAATCTAAGAACTCATTTTTACTCAAATCACATTTTAGGCTAATAAAAGGAGGGGAGGATGAGGCAGCTCCATTAGCTGAACTTAGCCAAATGTAATTTTCTGACACTCATTTTTCTTTAAGAGTTTTACAAAATGAGAGAAGTAAAAAATCAGTCAAGTATTTCTATCTCTCTAAAGGATTGTTCTTGACCACCAATATTAACCACAATATAAGTTTAAAGAAAGATAAGTTTTAGGTAACCAGAACTAGAAAGTGACCAATACTTTAATCAAGATGTCTAAGCTAAAATTAGAATCAGTCTCTTTAAATAAATAGCTGTTCTTTCTTTGAAAGTCATTAGAATTGAGAACAGGTGTTCCAGACTCTAAGAAAAAAAAACAAAGAATGTGAAAATGACATATTGCAATATGTGATTAAAACGAGGAGAGGCTCACTTCAGATGACAGTGATTTATGCATAAATAATAGTGTGTGGGTGAATTAGAGTGAGTAAGGGTACTTGAAACATGCATTTTTGCTCTCAAAGGAAAGTCTAGGCTACTTGGTAAGAATCACTGGTGACACTGCTTCAAACATGATGAATTTCCACTGAGAATATGCCATGGCAGTTTTGACACTTTAAAAATGGATCTGTGAAAAGGAAATTAGAAAGGATATATGAAGTCTAGAATTAATAAGTTGCTTGCCAGGCAAAAATGAAAGTCATTCTTGGGAAGCCCTGGTGAAAGCTTTCTGAGTGAGGAGACATTTTTAATACTAAATAGGTATGACCTTAAACCCTTTTATGAATATAGCTTTCCATCTGGGAAAATTGGAGAGATGAAAATAGTTCCCGTCCACAGCTCTATTTTAGTAATCAAGGGCCATGCCTGGCTTAAATAACAATCTATGGATTTTATACATTCTGAGAGTGGGGAGAGAGAAACTGCCACTTGATCTATTCTATTAAATGTCCACAATGCTTTCATTTGTTCAGGAATAAATCACATGTGTAGAGTATTGCATGTGTGCTTAGTCCTTCAGTCATTTCTGACTCTTTGCGACCCCATGGACTATAGCCCACTCCTCTGTCTATGGGATTCTCCAGGCAAGAATACAGAATGGGTAGCCATTCCCTTCTCTAGGGGATCTTCCTGACCCAGGGATGAACCTGGGTCTTCTGCATTGCAGGTGGATTCTTTACCATCTGAGACACCAGTTCAGTTCAGTTCAGTTGCTCAGTCCTGTCCAACTCTTTTTGATCCCATGGACTGCAGCATGCCAAGCTTCCTTGTCCATCATCACTCCCAGAGCTTGTTCAAACTCATGTCCATCAAGTTGGTGATGCCATCCAACCACCTGATCCTCTGTCATCCCCTTCTCCTCCTGACTTCAATCTTTCCCAACATCAAGGTCTTTTATAATGAGTCAGTTTTTCACATCAGGTGGCCAAAGTATTGGAGTTTCAGCTTCAGCTTCAGAATCAATGAATATTTAGGATTGATTTCCTTTAGATTGACTGGTTTGATCAGGGAAGTCCTCATATACTGAAAACTTTAAATGAGGCACAGCACAACAAAAAGCTATTGGGGAAATAAGGAAATGCTAGTGATATGTGTCATTGAGAGATGCAAGCCTCAAAAAAAAAAAAAAAAAAGATATTTTGAAAGGATAAAAACAAGTGAGGGAAAAAATAAAAGAGGAATAAGATGGTCTCCACCCCAGTTCCAAACCTTTATGCTCATAATGGTCCAGAGATGAGGTTTTGTCATACTGAGTTGGCTCTCTCCTAGTCATACCAAAAATGCAACTTATCTCTCCATCCTGTGATTATGCAGTGTGGATGGCCCCTGAGGAACCGACCTGTGCAGGAAGGTCCTCTCACAGTGCTTACCTGTATAGCTGCCTCCCTCTGGGAGATGACTCGGTGCTCAGAAAGTAACTGCCCATGAAAAAAAAAAAAAACACAAACATCAGGTACCAATCAATTTTTGCAACACTGAGTTTTTCACTTGCATTTTCCAACTGCCAGAGAATAGGCAAGAGCTTTTCTATTATTCAACAACAGGACTTTGATCCATTTGGGAAACATATCTTTTCTTAAAATGTTGTCATACTTTCTTTCCATGGTATCTCACAATCTCTCTGAGTGTGACTCTGTGTGTGTGTGCATGCATGTGTCTTTGCAAATATGTCTGTGTAAGCATCTCTCTGGGTGAAGCTGGGGGAGAGTCTTAAAGGTTGTTTTTTACATGGCCAGGCTACTTGGATTAGGACCAAGGTAAGCAAAAATAAATCTGGCAGATAAGATTGCATTTAACAACACTGACTTCCAACTTGACTAGAGAATAAAAACACTCACATTTTTTGTGTAATTTCATCATACGCCAGGATCTTTATCACTTCCCAGTTTCCTGATGTCAGATGCCGCACGGTAATTTGCTCACTTTTACTCTGTAAAGAAATAGAAAACATTGATTTCCCTTTTATTTAAATAGCATGTCTCTGGTCGACACCAAAGTGCTAACTGCCCCTGTCACTTTTAATTCTTTAGTTCTCAGTTAACATTGTTTCTTGTTTTCAATCTCAAGAATGAATACACATTCACATAACCATAGTTACAGGCAAGACAGTACCCTTATTCCTATGCTGTAGGAAAATCATTCAGAAAACATCTCCACATAGGACTACATGGGTAGCATCACCTTGACATAGCAAGTTATTTAGTCATTTAGTATAGACACAGGACTTTGATAGCGTTAATCTAAATGATTGACAGCTAAACAGTTTGAATAGCTTTGAATAAAACATAGAGCAAACATCATTTCAAATAGATTTTAAGTGTTATATGCTTTTAACCTTTGTAGCATGTGTATTGAGAATAATATTGATAGATTTGCTATTTTCACTCAACAATTTATTTCTGAGATTAATTCATGTTGACACTTGTAGACATAGTTTATTTTCACTGCTATATGGTATTTTATTATATGTATGAATACAGAAAAACTTATTTTTTGATATTTGAGTTTTTCCAAATATTTGCTCTTTAAATCAAGTTGTCTGTGGACCACTTTATTAATGTCTCCTTGTGCATGTGGCAGGGTTTTCTTGAGACAAATGCTGATAAGTGGGAAAACTCCTGGAGGGAGCACAGAGAAGATGGTGGAGTAGTAAGATGGGGAGATACCAGCTTCCCCCCAGATACATAAAAAACTCATCAAGATATGGAACGACTCCTACAATGCAACCTCTAGGCGACAGCAGAAGACCCCAGGCCTCCAGGGGGACAGGCTAAGCTCCCTGAAATGAGGTAGGAGAGACAAGGTAGACATAAAAGGGAAAAGACAGACAACTTCTGGACAGGAACTTGTGCCCCAAAGGAGGGAGGGAGCCATGAAACAGAAGTTCCCATGCGCAGGTAGGCCCAAAGGGGAGCTACCACGAAGTTTGGAAAATCAGGAACTTCTGCTGCTGCTGCTGCTGCTAAGTCGCTTCGGTCGTGTCCGACTCTGGGTGACCCGATAGACGGCAGCCCACCAGGCTCCCCCGTCCCTGGGACTCTCCGGGCAAGAACGCTGGAGTGGGTTGCCATTTCCTTCTCCAATGCATGAAAGTGAAAATTGAAAGTGAAGTCGCTCCATCGTGTCCGACTCTTCGCGACCCCACGGACTGCAGCCCACCAGGCTCCTCCGTCCATGGGATTTTCCAGGCACGAGTACTGGAGAGGGCTGCCCTTGCCTTCTCCAAATCAGGGACTTGGAGGGCAGTCAACTGAGAAAGCTGTACTTCTCAGCTCGTGAACAGCTCATGGACTGTGGCCTCAAACAGACGGCAGGCTTGGGACCCGAGAGCGTGCGGCATACAAAGCCAGCCAGCGCACACAACCCTTGCAGCACAGCCAGTCCCGGGTGGCCAGTGTGACGGGCAGATAAACCCAGAAGCAAGCAGCACAGACGGCAGGCCCAGGGACCGCGCAGACAGACACAGCCGCGCCCACGGCGGGACTAGGGTGCCCAGAGAGGCGTACAAACCGGGCAGCGCACACAACCCTCCCGGCACAGCTGGGAGAACAAATAACCCCCGGGACAGACTGCAGGCAGTGAGACGAGACAAGCGCACAGAAACCTCGCGACGCAGAGGGTGGACCCCGGGAACCGAGCCAAGCGCACACAGCCCTGCGACCCATATTAGCCTTTTGCAGTGCTGTGGAGTTTTCCTCTGTGTTTTTTGTCAAAAAAAAAAAAGTAAGGAAAAAAATCATTTTAGGTTTTTCTTTTTTCCTCCTCACTTTTTTTTTCTTTTTTCTTGATGAGTTTTTTTAAATTTTGATTTGGATATATTCAACTGCTTTACCTACTGTTCTTTACTGGCTGTAGCTATTCCTGAATATATATACAAATCTTTTTCACACACGTCCATTCATCTTTGCTTTTCTATTTTATCTTTTCTTGCTCTCTCTTTTTTATTTTTTAGTTCTCTTCTCCATCCCTCCCTTTTCTCTTTTCCCTCCTTTCTCTTATTTTTTTCCTCTCTTTTTTTATTCTCCCTTTTTTCCCTCTCTTTCTGCTTTCACCAAGTAAGTTAAATTGTTGAGATCTCTATGCTCTATTCCCCAATTGGGCCTTCCATTCATGCTCAGATTATCAGACTGAGCATTAGCTAACTCTTCTTTCAGTTGGTTGATAGTACTTCAGGTTTCCCTGTCTCACCAAGTCAATCTCCTGTACTTTTTTCTTTAGAACACTTTGGTTATAACTGTATATGTGGAAGTGTGTGTATATTTCCCAGTATTTCTATAATTGCCTACTTTATCTCCTCCCACTAGAACACAGGCACAAGTCACCCCAACAAGAAATCAACAGAAACCACCCAACTAACATTTCCCTCCAAGCGCAAAAATCAAAAGGAAGAAGTAATACAACCTTAAAGCCTGGGGAAAGGAGACCTCAAATGGACCAAGTTAGGAAAAAAAAAAAAAAAGATGATGATGAAAAGACAGAGAAATACAACATAAATGAAAGAGCAAGGTAGAAACTCAAAAGACTAAATAAATAAAGAGGCAATAAGTAATCTCCCTGAAAGAGAACTCAGAATAATGAGTAAAGATGCTCCCAAGACTTGAAAATAGAATGGAGAAAATGCAAGAGGCATTTAACACAGTTAATACAATCACCAAGGACATACAAGAAATAAAGAATAAGCAAACAGAGATGAATAACACAATTACTGAAATTAAGAATACACTAGAAGGAACCAATAGCAGAATAACAGGCAGAGGAATGGATAAGTGAGCTGGAGGATAGAGTGGTGGAAACAACTGCTGAAGAGCAGACTAAAGGGAAAGGAATGAAAAGAATTGAGGAAAGCCTCAGAGACCTTTGGGACAATATTAAACACACCAATATTTGAGTTATAGGGGTCCCAGAGGAAGAAGAAAAAAAGAAAGGCACTGAGAATATCTTTGAAGAAATTATAGTTGAAAATTTCCTCAACATGGGAAATAGTCAATCAAGTCCAAGAAGCATAGAGAGTCTCCTACCAGATGAACCCAAAGACAACACATCAAGATGCAGATTAAGCACAAAGAAAGAATATTAAAAGCAGCAAGGGAAAAGCAACAAGTAACATACAAGAGAAAACTCATATAATTAACAGCAAATCTTTCAGCAGAAACTCTACAGGCCAGAAGGGAATGGCAGGATATATTTAAATTACTGAAAGAGAAAATCCTACAACCACAATTACTCTCACCTCCAAAGATCTCATTCAAAATTGACGGAAAAATCAAAAAAGCTTTACACACAAGGAGAAATTAAGAGAATTCAGCACCAACAAACCAACCTTGCAAGAAATACTAAAGGGATTTACATAGCCAGTAAACACAAGAGAAAGGAAAGACTTACAAAAACAAACCCAAAATAATCAAGAAAATGCCAGTAGGAACATGTGTATCAATGATTACCTTAAATGTAAATGGATTAAATGCACCAACCAAAAGATACAGACTGACTGAATGGATACAAAAATAAGACCCATGTATATACTGCCTACAGGAGACCCACTTCAGACCTAGAGACACATACAGACTGAAAGTAAAAGGATGGAGTAAAATATTCCATGTGAATGGAAACCAAAAGAAAGCTGGAGTGTCAATCCTTATTTCAGACGAAATAGACTTTAATATAAAGAATACCATAAGAGAAAAAGAAGGACACTACATAATTATCTAGGGATCAATCCAAGAAGACATAGCAATTGTAAATATCTGTGCACCCAACATGGGAGCACCTCAATACATAAGGCAAACTAACAGACATAGGAGGAGAAATCAACAGCAATACAATAATAGTAGGGGACTTTAACACCCCACTGTCATCAATGGACAGATCATCAAAACCGAGAATCAATAAGGGAACACAAATCTTAAATGAAACATTAGACCAAATAGACTTAATTGATATCTTTGGGACTTTCCATCAAAATACAGAAGAGTACACTTTCTTCTCAAGTGCACATGGAACATTCTCGAGGATAGACCACATCTTGTACCACAAATCAAGCCTCAGTAAATTTAAGAAAATTGAAATTGTATTAAGTATCTTCTGACTATATGCTATGAGACTAGATATCAACTACAGGGGAAAAAAACAGCAAAAAACACAAACTCATGGTGATTAAACAATACATTACTAAATAACAAAGAGGTTACTGAAGAAATAAAAGAAGAAATCAAAAGATGCCTAGAAAAAAATGACAATGAAAACATGATGACCCAAAACCTATGGGACTTAGCAAAAGCAGTTCTGAGAGAGAGGTTTATAGCAATACAACCATAAGTCAAGAAGAAAGAAAAACATCAAATAGACAGCCTAACTCTACATCTAAAGCAGCCGGAAAAAGAAGAACAAAAAGCACCCAAAGTCAGCAGAAGGAAGGAAATCATAAAAATCAGAGCAGAAACAAATGAAAAAGAAACGAAGGAAACAGTAGCAAAGATTAATAAAACTAAAAGCTGGTTCTTTGAGAAAATTAACAAAACTGACAAACCACTAGCTAGACTCATGAGGAAAAAAAGGGAGAAAAATCAAACCAATAAAATTAGAAATTAATAAGGAGAGGTTACAACAGACAACAGAAATACAAAAGGATCATAAGAGAATATTATGAGCAACTATATTCTAATAAAATAGACAACCTAGAGGAAATGGACAGATACTTAGAAAAGATCAGCCTCCCAAGACTGAACCAGGAAGAAATGGAAATTATGAACAACCAAATTAAAAGCACTGAAATTGAAACAGTGATCAAAAATCTCCCCCCAACAAGCCCAGGGCCAGAATGCTTCACAGGAGAATTCTATCAAACATTCAGAGAAGAGCTAATGCCTATTTTTCTGAAACTCTTCAAAAAAATTGCAGAGGAAGGAACACTTCCAAATTCATTCTACAAGC